GACAGTTTTAAACAATAAAAGCTGGGTTCTGATGTTTGAAATCATGCTTCTGATTTTGTGATCAATTTGCTTTGCATTGTATATTGGCCCTACGTTATCAAAACAGGTTTAGTTCTCATTAAAATTGGCCTATTCCCTGTATTATCTACACCTTTAAAATTCTTAAGTTAAATTATTTAAAGTTTTCTTTTATTTTCAATGAAAAATAAATGCGATCGTTAATATCGATCTTGGTACAATGTAAACCTGTAATCATATGACTACTTATACAGAATATATATTATAGGCCTAGACTAGAACCAGGCCTCCTACTATAGTATAGAGGCCTAGACCTCCTACTATAGTATAGAGGCCTCGTCCAAGACCTTGTTGCAAATCCCAGCCCACATAAGCCTAACCTATAATGCCAAGCAGGTGTCGTGATCGCGGTACCCTGACCATTAAAAATTAGCAGACGCACTGGGAAGCGTTGTTCACGGCATTGGACTGCAGCGAAAAATGATTCCCCCATCATTAATGGAACAGGCCCACGTCATGCTTGGCTGATTAGTTTTGATTTACATTTCTTCAGTCTAGTGCCGTACGCAGCAAAAGTCTATTTCTAGTGTTGTTGTAAAATGCATTTCAAACCAGGCTGGTTTTTGATTTAAATTTTGAAATATAATTTGGAGAGAGCGTTTGATCAAGTCAGACCTACGTTTTGAATTTGAATTACATTTTAAAGAAATTAGAACTACATTTGGAAAAATTTGAATTATGTTTTGAAAAATCAGAACTTCATTTTGAAAAACTAGATCTACATTTTGAGAAATTTACGCCTACGTTTTAATAAATTAGACATTGAATTTTGCAATTACATTTTCATTATAACATTGACTTTTGCTGCGTATGGCACCCCATATCTTTATACTTCAACGATAATGATAAAAAAGTTCACACCACTCGATTAACGATACGCTAGCGTAAGTCGTTGTGTCTGAACATAGCCAAATAACCAGAGTCCGGTCATCCGATTCTGCGCGTTCTGTGGAGAACTCTATCTTGTGTTTCTATTATCTTTGGTTTGCATGGCAAGCATAGAGGTATTATTAAATAGCTCTATGATGGCAAGTTACATTTTCTTTATGCACCCAGACGTTTAATTGTGTGCCAGGTAAGATATACAGATACCGGTATAATTGTATTATATGTGCATGTAATTACAGAAGAAATGGATTACTCCATTCTCGAAGAACCGGAGAAGCACATCATGCATGATTACCTTATCCAGTAAAGCCGGGCTCTGACTGCGCCCGGCGGTCGTCGGTCGACAAGATTCTATGGAGAACTCAGTGACCAGACACGCGCGCGAAACGGATCGTTTTTAATGACGATCCGTTCAAGCTATAGTAACCAACATATCAGCAGACGGTGTCGCGTCGACTAGCGCACACAGAGAGTGCAGATGGATTCGTCGTACAACGCAGTAAATGGCCGGCTTTGGACGTGCAGATTAGTAGAACCGTCCACTGTTCAGGAGTTTCTCACCTCCACAAAAGCAACCGCCAAATTTATCTTCCTCAAGGTCGACACATGCAACATCACCATTGCTGGCTAATACTTCATCATTGATTTCTCCAGATGGCCATGCTTCATTTTTTCGACGACAAAATATTTGGAAAGTGCTTATATTCTATCATTGACAAAATAAGAAAAAGAAGATGTTATAGTGAACCAGAATGATTATCGGATATTTATATCTCCGTCAGTTCACGAATTACATCGGATGTGAATCGAGCTCTAAAAGCTTTGTCCAAACTTTCAAATTTTATGTGACAAATAAATGTGGTATGCAGATATTTGGGTGTAATAAGACATCATTATGCCCACGGCAACATCACACACATTGGTCACACACAGTCTGATAGTGTAGACAAAGCTTTATTTCTACTGAGGCACATTCTGAGCATCCCTGACAGCTTTACTATATTTTGCATTTATATGCATCTCAAAATTTATTTAATGATCTGGGAAATTTTTATTTTATGTCTATTTTGCGTAAGTACAGCAAATTAATTATAAGTGTATATGTCATCAAAATAATTACCGTATTGTTTATTAAATGTTTAGAAGAAAAGTGTAATTAATTTTCACTACCAACTATAACCAAATTATAGATTCGCAAGAGGTCCGACTGCCCTGATTTTGTATGCGCACAATGGCCGTATTCGACTGGTCATTCTTCGTTAAACCACGCCCACCTGCGCAGTGGTAAAATCCTATTTAACGAAGACGACCAGTCGAATAGATAACTGGTAAATACTCTACAAAACAAAATGGCTGCATAGTTACCGCGATACACGCTGTGTAATCAAGGCTGCTTCGGATTGTGGCAGTATGGGTTTTTCGTAAAAAATAGTTTTCATCCAATTTTTGAATTCTGTTAGCCTACAATTATTTTTTGACTTCAATGTGGGTAAATATTATAATTTTTATTTTCTGAAATTTAATCTAAATTATATTAACGCAAATGTTGTTGCTAAACTGACCAATCGGCCATAATTTTTTCGGTCACGTGCATAACTTAACGATGATTAATGCACTCTGGTTTCGTTAATTGGTAATAGATATAGACTGATTAAGATTGAATATCAATTTGATTGATAGATAAATTGATTAAATGACGAATAAATGATTGATAGATTGATCATATAATTAGTATATATATATAT